CGCGCAGTTCAGCGTCCACCGATGTCCCTCCTCAAACCCTTCCCACCGCACAAGCAAACGTCGCTGGGCCATTTGACTGTCAGCCATCTGACCGAAGGGCCTTAGGCTCCTCGCTGCCCACAAACAGCAAACAAAATAACACCTTTCTAAATCCACTAGATCCTTTTCATATTGGAGCTTTTAACGTCCCTACTCTATGTCAAATTGGCAAACAGGCAGTGCTTGCTGAAACCCTGTACTCCCTTAAAATCGATGTATGTTGTGTCTCCGAAACACGCATACAGGACACGAGCGTGGTTTGTCGTGTCGGCTTATGCCCCAACGGACTGCAGTTCTGATGCGGAGAAGGATACCTTCTATCGAGAGCTATCCGGGCTCATCCGTCAGAAAAAAGCACCGACATTGTGATCCTCGCAGGCGATTTCAATGCACAAGTAGGTCGTCTAAGCTCCTTGGAATCACATCTGGGCGGTCGGTTTGGAGTTGATGCTCGCCACACAGACAATGGAGATAGACTCCTTTAGTTGTGTGCTGACCATGGACTGTTTCTGGCAAGTACGAACTTCCAACATAAAGGTTCGCATTGCGTAATCTGGTTGCCACCAATTGCAAGTCAAAGGTGGACCCAGTTGGACCACGTGGCCATCAGCCACCGGTGGAGAGCCATAATTCAAGACTGCGATTCATTCTGGGCACACCACTTGATTCCCATCACGCCATGGTGCTGCACGCCTGACAGTAGGCTTCCCTCGCTTCCCTCCAGGCCTTCGCAAATTAGCAAGTAGCATGTCAGTCCACTATCTCCGAAGAAGGACGACAGCTCAACAGTACCGATCTGAGCTAGCCCAACAACTCTCCACAGTAAACCAGTACTGTAGTGGCAGTGAGCATGTGGATGAAGCGTGGCAAAATGTAGAAGGAGCTATGTTAGCGGCGTTCAGTGCTGTCTGTTTGACCTCTCCAATTCGACCACATGACCACCGGATGTCGACGAGATCGCTATCCATGATTGATGACAGGAATGCCACACCAGCAGGCAACGAGTACGACGGTGCACGCAAATCCCTCAAACGCCAAATAGTGAAGAGTCTAAGGAAAGACCGAGAGCTCTGGTGGACATCGAAAGCTCGGGAGATGGAGAAGGCTTTTGCTACGGGAAACAGCCGTGCCCTTTATCAACTGATACGATCGACTGGCCCTAGGAAAGCAACGGTCAGCGAAACGATAAATGAAAAAGATGGCTCATTAATTCACTCGCAAAAACGTCGACTGGAGAGATGGGCCGAACACTTCGAAGAGCAGTTCAGCTGGCCTCCTGCAACACAGCCGGTGGAGATAATGCATACGGGCGAATGGAATGTAAACCTTGATCGCCCTTCAGAAGAAGAAATAGGGTACGAAATAGCCGTACTGAAACGTGAGAAGGCACCAGGACCGGACGGTCTGTATCCAGCCCTCTTCAAAGAAGGCGGAAAATCCCTGGTGACCCACCTGACAAAGCTTATTGGTGCTATATGGGACGAAGAGAAAGTGCCTGCAGAATGGGGCATGTCGACGGTTATCCCCATCTTCAAAAAGGGTACGCGGACGCTATGTGAAAACCACCGTAGCATCAGCCTGTTAGCTGTGGCATCGAAGGTGCTCTCTGGCCTTATCCTTCGAAGGTTGACTGAACACGGATAGACAGCTCCGTGAAAACCAAGCTGCAAGAGGATGCATCGGTCACATCATCACCCTCCGACAGATTCTTGAACAGCGACACTGTTTCCAGCAACCAACAATGGTTGTGTTTCTTGATCTGAAAGCTGCCTTTGACTCTGTGGACCGTCAGGCACTATGGCAGTGTCTGCGGAGCAAAGGTGTCCCCCGTAACTTCTTTACTTTCCTTAAGGAGTCGTAGGCCAACTCCCGCGGCCGTGTGATGGTCTGCGGGAAGCTATATCCTGAGTTCAGCTCATCAATTGGTATCAGACAAGGCTGTTCTCTTTCACCTTTCCTCTTCAACTTCGTCACTGATACGATTATGAAATCCTCACAATCAGCCTCCAATGTCTGTAGGGTCGAACTTCTACCGAGGCGTCCGCTCACGGATACCGAGTACGCAGACGACTCAGCTCTTCTTGGATTTGACCCCGTGGTATTTTCAGCATTATTAAATAGGCTAAATAATTCTGCCTCGCGGTTTGGCATGCTCTTCACACCTGCAAAGTGTAAAATGCTACTGCAAGACTGGGTGGGCTCTAACCCTAGTCTCATGCTTGCGGATGAACCGATTGAGGTAGTAGACAAATTTGTTTACCTGAGCAGCTGTATCAGTCCCGGTGGTCTCA